GTTTTTAAAAATTAATTTTATTGGTACACTTTTGATATAGGGAATCTGTACCTGTACATAATATATCTTGATTCATTTTTTCCCCATTCCTCTTCCCTCCCTTTAACCATTCTTCCCCTTTCTTTACAAAAGCTTTGTTTCCATTTTTTATGCTTTTTTCTTTTCCCTTCATTCCCTTCCCTTCCCCCCCTCCCTTCTTCCCCTTCCGTTTAAACATTTTTTTCTTAATTTCCAACATTTATCATTCATTTGCACTTTCGTTTTCTCAAACAAGTGAATCAATGCAGTATTTAAACTTGTGTGTCTGTTTCACTTAAAAGTATGGTCTCAAGGTGCATCCATTTACCTAAAAATGTCTCAAATTTATCCTTCTTTGTGGCAGAGGAGGACTCCATTGTATATAAAACCACATTTTTTAAAATCCATTCATCTGATATGGGCATCTGGGCTGCTTCTAAGATTTAGCTATTACAAACTGTGCTGCTATAAATAGTTGTGCATATGATGCTTTCAAATCTTTCAGGAAAATACTAAGAAGGGGAATAGCTGAGTCAAATGGAACCTCTAGTTTCAGTTTTTTGAGGAGTCTCTATATTGATTTCAATACTAGTTGCACCAATTTACACTCCCACCAAGAGTGGAGAAGAGTTCTTTTTTCCTCCCAATATTTGTCACTGGTTGATTTGTTGCTGACAGCCATTCTTTCTGGAGTGAGATAGAATGTATTTGGTGAATCCCCCAAAATATATCCCTGGAACAAAAATGATATTTGCCATCACTAAGAAGGGAGAAAGTTAAGACTTAGTAGCTTACCTCAAAAAAAGCTACTAATAAGGAATAGTCACCATCTTACTTATATACAAAACAGAAATGTCTTATGGCTGTCTTATGTGTACCATAACTCAAATTCAGCTCACTCACCAGAATTCAGCTCTCGAATGGCTGACAGAGTATTTGTTAGAGTTCTGATTTAAGTAAAACTGGCTTGTAGTGAAATGAGGAAAAAAAAAGAGAACATAAAACTATCACAACCACAAGTTTAGATTAACAAAAATCTTCTAAAGGATTGAGAATGACAAAATTTTAACACTGAAATGGTAGAATTGCAAGTAAAATTATTCTTTCACATGATGCCTACATTTCATATGACACTTTGAATCAAGATTAAAAATTGCATAAAATGGACTTAACAAAACACACTAGGGGGCCGGGGATTTAGATCAGTGGTTTCACAGCCTGCTGCGCAAGCGCAAGGACCCAAGTTCGATCCCTGGTACCAAAAAAAACAAATACTAGGGCTCCAGGGATGTAACTCAGCGACATAGCACCTGCCTGGCAAGCACCAGGTCCTGAGTTCAATCCCTGGTACTGAAGAAAAAAAAGGGGGGGGAAGTTTGAGGAAAAGAATGGGATAAAATATAATTTATTTTTTAAAAAACAGGGCCAGGGATTTAGCTCAGTGGTTCTGCCACCTGCCTTGCAAGGTCCCAAGTTTGATCCCCATACCAAAAAAAAAAACATGCTAGCTGTGGCCAGGGATTTAGCTCAGCGCTGCTGCCACCTGTCTCACAAGCACAAGGTCCTGAGTTCAATCTGTTCCCCCCCACCAAAAAAAACATGCTAGGGAAAAATGTGAAACACCACTTTTATGCTTCAACCCTCACTAAAATATTGTTAATATTTGAAAAACTGGCAATCAGAGGATCCTTCCTCTTGAACTTCTCTGGGCCCTAACCAGTGACAGCACAGAACTACACTGGCATTAGCTAAATTTCAGAAAGTTATACTTTTTCAGTTTTTCAACAGGCAAAAACTCAAAAATTCTGGGGCCAGGGATTTAGCTCAGTGGCGCTGTCCCTGCCTCACAAGCTCAAGGTCCTGAGTTCAATCCCTGGTACCTCAAAAAAAAAAAAAAAAAACCCTCAAAAATTCAAAGTCAAGAGGTTAGAATAAACTCCTCTGCAGAGTACATTAGTATTTTCAGACATAAACAAAATTTAGGAATTCATTTACCAAAAGTACACCTTAACATGTACCAAGACACGGAGACCTAACCTAAGATAGTGTAGGTCTACTACTTTCTAATTCTGGCTACATGGGAAATCTAGGGTGGAAACCAGACGTCCTTGAATTTAAACTCAGTATCATTCACATGAGTAATTTCCCCTTATAATTCCCACATAACTTCTACAGATCAAGAATCCAGAAGACCTTAAACTTGATACAAATGTGTTGACTTTCTATTTTTAATTACAATAAACTACCAGTCCCATCTTCCAACATCTGTTTAAATTACTTGAACTTTTGGGAGAGCAGCCAGAACAGGAATTAAATGCACATCATCTCCATAGGACCAGGCAAACAAGACACATTAGCTAACTTCTCTTTCTTTTTTTTCTCTCCCCACCCTCTTTCTGGCAGTGCTGGGGACTGACCCCAAGGGCACTCTACCTCTGAGCTACATCACCATTCCTTATTCTTTACTGTGAAAGAGGGTCTAAGTTGCCCGGGCTGACCTCAACTTGTCATACTCCTGTCTCAACCTCCCAACATAGCTGGGATTACATGTGTATGTCATCATGTCCAGCACTAACTGATATCTCTGATACACTTTAAAATAGGGCTGGGGTACAGCATAAGATCTTTGGTTCTATTCCCAGCAAAAAGTCTGAAAAAAAAAGCCACTAATTCAAAACGCATGGATTTGATCTAAGTTGTATAAAGGAGAAAGATGCATACTAACAAAGTATGGAAAAAACAAACTGGTTCTTGTGGCGCATGACTGCAATCATAGCTCCTCAGGAGTGTGAAGCTGGAGGATCACAAATTGGGAGTCCAATCTGGGCAACTTGGCGAGACCCTATCTTTAAAATTTTTTGAAAAGAGCTGGATATACAGCTTAACGGTAGAGCACTCCACATTTTGATCCCCAATAATGCAAATAATAATAACTCACTGGAAATTCAAATACTTGAATGGATCTATACCTTGAAAGTGATTTTATGGTGTCTCCCATTAATTTTATTTTTTTAATTAATTAATTTATTTTTTGGTTCTGCAGATCAAACTCAGGACCATGTGTTTTTGAGGAAGGTGGTGGAACCACTGAGCTAAATCCCCGGCCCAATTATATCCTCTTTTTTTTGGTATAAGGGATCAAACTCAGTCTTTATGCTTGTGAGGCAGGCAGCGGAACCACTGAGCTAAATCCCCGGCCTCTCCCATTAATTTTAGATACTTATCCGGCCACTTAAAAAAAGTAGCATGGCACCCTCCAAAAATAACTATCTTCTCCATGAAAGAAATGGAGAAAATTTGAGAAACATTTTATCTTTGTGAAAAAAAATCATGAACAATTGCTCTATGAATTGTAAAGAACCTCAATAGGAAATTGAAACAAGAAGTAACTGGGTATACTCATACTTTTGAAATATTAAGGAAGCTTGCTTTTGAAACTGATGGTAGTAGAGCCAGAAAATAAATCCTCTTCTCATACTCTTTTGAAAACAAGCTGGTCAATGATGTATTGTCACGTATTATCTGATTTACGGCTGATGTGCATTAATACTTTAGCTCTAGAATTACGCTGAGACCTTGAAATGAAGCGGGTCTGGGATTTAGCTCAGTGGTGCCACAGCCTGCCTGGCAAGCGAAAGGTCCCGAATTCAATCCGGGTAACAAAATAAATTTTTTTAAAAAGAAAGAAAACAAGCTAATAAACTAACAAGATTCAATGGTTAAGGCTAAGGGGGCTCCTCTGAGCATTATTCAGGTACATGGAGCTCCACTGTGAGACAGACTACTCATGGGACCAGGAAAGAGCAGTTGCTTACATTATTCAAAAGAAAACCCTTGTCTCTCAGCTGTGGGGAGAAAAAAAGCCAGTGAAGAGCAGATTTTTTAAAAGTCTACCTTCGAACAGACTTTTTAAAGAAACAACTTTGTAGCTACTATTTAACAAAGATACCCTAAAATTAAGCACCATAATGTTTATCTCACCTATTGAAAACGTATTAGGGGCCAGGGACTTAGCTCATTGGTCCCGCTGCCTGCCTTCCAAGCACAAGGTCCCAAGTTCGATCCCCGGTACCCGCCCCAAAAAGTATCAGGCTTTTAGTATATGTGCTGCAGAAACAAGCACTGTATCAGGTTTTTAAAAATATTACTTCGTAAAAGTTTTTGCATTAGACCGTATGCCAGCTGGACAAACATTAATTTAAAATACAAATAGATCAAGTACATTCAAAATTCTTGAAAACAGACAAAAAAAAAGGATACTGCACGTGATAAACACGAAGGAGTAAAACATAAAGCCGAATCCTGCGCTAATGAAAGTTTAGCAAAATGAGGACCGAAGACTCCGGACTCGGAAAACTTGGGCGCTCCCTGGCTACCACACTGGATCTGGTCATTTCCTGCCACGGGCAGCTCTGGCCTCTGGCGGCAGCTGGCTCACATACCAGTGTTGTGTGCAGAGTGCGTGCACGAAAGGGAGAGGGGGAGGAGAAAGGCTGAAGTCGCTCTGTCTCCCTCCAGACGCTCACACCCAGAGCAGCGAGGCTGAAGATCGCAGCCCGAGAATGAGACTCACCGCTGTCCGCTTCCAAGAGTTCGTTTTCCCCACGTCCACACCCTTATCTGATCCAACTTTCGATTACATCAAGAAAGCAAGACAAGCTCGGGAAGACGAAACCTTGCCTGAGGTTCTGAATGGGCCTCTTCGGGTGACAGATCTCAGGCGACCGCTCGCCCTACGCCCCGGGGATCCCTTCACGGACTCTTCCCGACCTCCGCCCGTCGGAGGAGAAACAGGCCTCGAGGCGGTCCCACGCGCAGACTCCACACCCCCGCCCCTCCCGGCCCGGCCTCCACTCGCGGCCCCTCACTCACCCATCAAAATACGCATTTGCTTCTTGCCGAAGAGGCGGGAGAAGAGCGAGGAGATGGTGAGGCCCATGGTGGCAGTGGCACTTGAGAGGGGCACAAGAAGGGTTCTGGCCAGGGTTCTGGCCTGTCCCCGGGCCTTCGCCTTTTACGCTCCCGACACAGCGACAAACAGCGGAGGGGAAGAGAGCTGACGGGAAACAGGCTAGTCAAGACGGCTCGCTGGCCGACGCTGTCCAAGGAAACGCACACTAAAACTAGCGGGGCGGAGACCTGTTTAGCAACTGGCGCGGTAGCTCCCGGCTCCGACTTTAAGGATCTGGGTGTGCCACGTCACGCAGCAGACCAGGCGACTCCAGCAGAGGCCCGACCCCTCCAACGCGGACAAAATCGCGTCACCACCGCTCCATCCCCCTGAGCTTCCGGTGCTGCCTGAACTACTGCGTCTGCGCACATCGGGATTGGCCAGCTTCGCTGACGTGCTACTCTCCCCGCCACCTCCCCCTCCCGGACGTGGATCCAGGAACCGGCGACGTCACTGGGCACAGGCGCACTGGGAGACACAGTCCCATGATGCATCGCTTCGCTGCCTCCAATCAGCCTCGAGGAGAGACGCTTCCGCGCATGTGAATGCACCATAGGAGTTGTAGTCTTTGTGCTTGCGGGAAGGCGGTGACCCTCACTAGTTAGGTAGCGGACTTCTTTCTGCTCTTTGAGCGTCGATGGGAATTCCAGAATCCCACGAAAGTATACGTTGCGCGGCCAAACGCTTGTCCTAAGTGGAAAAGTGAAGATGGGCCCTTCCTTCCCGACAGAAAAATACTGTAGTTAGAAGACCTGCGAGGGGAGAAAGGGCGACAGCCTATTAAGGTGCTAGGCCCCCTTGGCAGGTCGTCCTGAAGATCGCTGATCCTATGTGGAGACGAGAGAGCTCGGACACAGCACGCCAGAGATCCCAGCACCCTGGGAGGCCGACATGTGAGGAGCCTAAGTTCGGCTGTATCTCAAAATTTAAAAAAAAAAAGAGTTGGGGATGTAGCCCAGTGTGAAAGCCCTGGGTTCGATCCCCAGTACGAGGCTGGCGCCAGAAGGAAAGCGGGGCGGGGAGCAAATCAACGAGGACACCTTGCTTTCTTCAGCATTTTTTTCTCCAAGAAACTCGAAAGATTTATTCCTCGGGTTCAAGTAGAAAGCTTCGTTTCAGAAAATACTTATGACCTTATTTTCCCAATTACAAAATAAGGCATAAATGTTGTATGTAGAAAGTTTCAAAGGCCACTTTCCAATAAATTTCACCACACTGTTGCTGAAGTTTAGTAGTGTTCGCAGGCCCCACCCTTAAAGCTAGTCATAGCGTCTTCACCCGCCCTTAGAACTGTTTGTTACAGTGTTTCCCCTTGAAACGTTCTTGACCTAGCCAAATAGATCTATTTCGCAGGCTCAAAGCATCATAACCTCTCTTCCTATTTATGATTTCATATTTAATGTTGTTATTGACATCCTCCCCTGTACATTAGTCTCAAATTGTAGACAGTCAGAGAACTAGACCTTTTTAAAACTTCATTGTAGTCCCCGGTTTGGCACACTGCTAATAAACATCGTTGAGTGAGAAGATGGACAAGCTATCTTATAACGATACTGTGGAATACAGTCAGGAGTTAGACACAGAACTATATTCAGTATTCTAATGAAAAGCTCTCCAGAGTAAAGTTAGCCAGGAGGGCATAGTGTAAATAATATAAAAATACACATCTTTTCGCTCATGTATTTCAGAGAATGTAGAACAAAACCTTCAAGTAGAATCCATTTGCAGTAGTAGTATTTACCTGATAAAATTGTAGAGGATACAAAAGGGTGCTCCTAAGGAGTAAAGAAAATGGTTTGTGAAGTGGTAGTCAAAGGAAAGCTTGATACTTCTAAAAATCTGCTTTACTGAGATACAATTACTGCCATAACATTAACCAATTTTAACTGTACACTTTCAACAAATGTGTTTAGTAGTATAGCCATCATCATTGTCTCGGACACCTATTATCCCAGAGTGTTCCCTTGTGCTCCTCTGTAGTCATCCTGTCTTCACCACTAGCCCCAGGCCAACCACAGACCAGTTACTAGTCTTTTTTCAGCCCTGCATGGTGGCAGCACGCTTATAATTCCAACACTCAGGGAGCTAAGGCCGGAGTATTGTTGTGAGTCCAACCTTAATTACATAGTGAGTTCAAGGCCAATATGAACTACATAGAGAGACACTGTCTCAAAAAACTCAAAGAAAAACAAAACCGAAAATTATAGTTTTCTCTTTTGCAATATTTTATTTAAATAGGAATATATAAAGCTTGGTGTGAGGTGCATGCTTGTAATCCTAGCATTTTGGAGGCGACAACAGGAGGACTGCAGCAAATCTGAGTCCAGCCTGGACTGCGCAGTGGGTTCAAGGCCAGCTTGAATTACATAGCAAGACCCTGTTTCAAAAACCAAAGAAAGAAAGAAAGAAAATACATTTTTTGTGCTTGACTTCTTTCTCCTAGCATGATTTTGAAATTCATCTATGTTATTGCGTGTATCAGTTTTCTTTTTAATTGCAAGCACTGTTCCTTCGTATGGATATACCAGTATTTATCCATTTACCAATGGACAATTAGTAGTCTTTTGGTTGTTCATTTAAAAGTTTTGGGCTATTATCAATAAAGCTGCTGTGAACATTTAAAAATGTGTTTTGTGTATTAACAAGATAAATTTGTGTATCATTTAAGTAATTTTTAAAATCTTTAGATTGGGTGAACTATAATTAGTTTAACACATATTCTTCCAGATTTTTCTCTTTGAAAAACTACTATTCCTATATGAGAAAAGGATCACTGTTCAAAATTTAAAGAATGAACTTGGAGGTGGACAGTGCAGTGGAACATGGATGTTTAATCACAGAGGACCTTGCAAGATGGGTGTCTTTCCTAAGACAGGAACACTTGATTTAAAAAGCAGTGAGCTTTTATCCCTACTTCACAAGGGCTTCCCTTCCCCCATCTCTCATTAGGTGAGCTCAGAAGACACAATCTGTCCCAAACAGCACCTGTTATTTCCCCTTCTTGCCCCCTACCTTATGCAAACTTCTTTGTAGTTGTGACCTTTCGGTTTAAATGAGCATAATACATGGAAACCTGTTGTTCTAGCAATCGTCTCTTATCCTACAATTTTATCTTTGAGTTTAGAGATTCTTTTTGAGTGAGTTGTTTTGTGACCTGTATATGTCTGCTATTTGACCCAATGACCTGTCAGTAAGCATACTGGCATGCCAATAAAGCTCTTTTAAAGCTGCCAAAGCTGAAATGAAACATGGGTCATCTCCTTTTTTGTTTCTCACACCTATATAAATTACTTTTTTCAGGGCTGGGGATTTAACTCAGTGTTTCCGCTGCCTGCCTCGGAAGCACAAGGTCCTGAGTTCAATCTCCGGTACCAAAAATAAATTAAAAAATAAAAATAGATTACTTTTTTCATATACTGTGGACATTTTAGGTGTTAATATCAGCAATAAAAATTTAACTTTTATGGGATGAATTTCATTGTGTGAATGTAAGATAAAAGAGAAAAAGCCAATCGTTGCATTCACTTGCTTAATGACAATGTCATGTTATACTAACAGAACAGTGTTAAAGAAAACACAGAAACAGATCACCTTACACCACTTTTTAGTTCTGAAAAGGTTGAGACCAGTGAGCCAGAACCAGGCCCTAGTGGGCTACATACTCCCCCAAAGAAAAAGGACACCAGAGAGCCAGATTCCTGATGTTCTCATGGAAGGGGCCTCTCCTTCCAAACAATAATCACCTTCCATTTCATCCTCCCTTCCTGCACGCCAAAGATGTCAACTTGAATGGTGAGTACAGTATGAAATTGTTTCTGGTAAACTATGCAGCACGTTTTATAACTTTCTGGTGAATACACTAGGAAAATTATTTGTGTTTCTGGTAAATTACACACATTATACAACCCTTTTTATTATGAAAAAGTTAAGGGGTGCTTTGGGAGGTTCATGATGCATTATGAATATTTCCATTATTATGGGGAAAGTTGTCTTGACTTCCAACCAACTTGATTTACAACCAGCCCTTGCAAATGAATTGAGTTCATAAGTCATGGGTTCACTGTATTTATAGCAAAGTGCCAACACTGCAATTAAGCTTTAATTCTGAGGTTTCAGTTTAGAAAAAACAACTCACACATTAACATCTTTTGTCTTAAAAAAAAAAAAACCACTGCTGGGGATTTAGCTCAGTGGTTCCAGCGCCTGCCTTGCAAGCCCAAGGTCCCGAGTTTGATCCCTGGTACCAAAAACAAAACAAACAAACAAAACCCACTACTGATAAATCACACAGATGTGAAACATCTGTACCCTAAAAAACTACATTACTGAAATTAAAAAACACATAGACAGAAAGATACATTTTTGTTTGTGCTTCAGAAAACTCAAGAAACCAATTCTCCCTCAAATGGATCTACAGACTCAATGCAATCCCAACTAAAATCCCAGCAGGAATTCTTTTAGAAATTCAAGTATGATTCTAAAATTCACAGAGAAATGTATAGGACTTAATTTTTAAAAAGACAGTTGGAGAGCTAACATTACTCAATTTCAAGAATAAAACCATAGCAATCATGACAGTATAGTATTGGCATAAAGACATAAATATATACCAATAGACGAAAACAGGAAGTGCAAAAATAAAATCATATGTATGGACACTTGAATTTGTAAAAGTGCAAAACACTGCAACTGATTTTGACAAATGAAAACTTTTCAACAAATGGTATGGGAACTGGATAGTCATACAAAAGAACAAAAAAACCCCTCATAGATCCATACTTTACACAAGACCAAAATTAGTTCCAAATGATTTATATACCTAAATATAAAACCCAGAACAATAAAATTCCCAGACAAAAAAATAGGAGAAAAGCTTTGTGACTTTTGGGTAGGCAAAGAGGTATCATACCAGAAACACAATACTTAAGTGAACAAGTTCATAAGTAGAACTTCATCAAAATTCAAAACTTTAACTAGAAAGCTTCCGGGAAGATGGCGAAGTGGTGAGGAAGCTCCCCACCTCCGTCCCAGGCTCCTAGGGCAGTGAAGCTCAGCTGGTCCCAGCATCGGGAAGGAAGCTCCCCTGGTGCCATCCCAAGCTCCTAGGGCACAGAAGGTGAGCCGCATGGGCACCAGAAGCACCCCTCCTCCCGTGGAAATGAGAAGACACATAAACAAGCCTCAAAAACAGACTTCCAGATCACCTACAGCAACCCCAAAGGGAAACGAGATGGAACACC